CTAGGGTTGCATGACCATGTTCCTTGTAGTGATATGGGAACGTACTTTCCCATAAAAAGGAATACAAGGATACTCTCAAGGTCTCTTTGAAGAACTTTGGAATCAGTTGGGAGACATGGGAAACACTGGCACAGGATTGCCCAGCATGGAGGGTCCACCTCAAAGAAGGTGCGTGCACTATGAGAGAAGCAGAATTGCAATAGCTCAAAAGAAACATGAGATGGGCAGATTTAGAGAAAGTTCCACTCCAAATGTTCACGTGGACTATTTGTGCCTGTCGTGGGATACAGCCTTACAAGCCCATATTGGTCTGATCAGCCACAGTCGGACACACTGTACCTTGACCCCAACATAGTGATGTCATTTTGGTCCTCTTGGAGAATGAAGGACAGCAACCAACCAACACCATAGGAGACACATTGGAGAAGGAACCGAACTTGGAGTCAGGAAGCCCTGAGCTACAATCCTTCCCTACCAACCATAGCTGTATGACCCTGGGCAAGTTACTGAACCTCTTTCTGCCTCAGTTTCTTTAACTATAAAGTGAGGATAATAATAGAACCTACCTCCCAAGATTGTTGTGAGGATAAAGTTAGGTAATATTTTCAAGTGCTCAGAACAGTAGATAATAAGCTCTTAATAAAAGCTTATTTCCTTCCTGCCTCTTCTCTGAACTTTAGAAAAAATGAATCATACATGTGTAGCCATGTTTTCTACTTGGAAATATTTTGTACTACTTCTGGAATGGGTTTAGACTAGGAGTTCTTAACCTGAGGTCCATGAATTTAGGGTTTTTTTTAATATTTTGATAATGATTCCAACTTGGTTGGCTTCCTTTGCAGTATTTTATTTTATGCATTTACAAACATTATTCTGAGAATGGGGCCCTTCATTTCATCAAAGGGGTCCATGATGCCAAAAAAAAAAAGTTAAGAATTTCTAATGTGGATTGACAGTAGTAATCTTTATATTGTATTGTACAAGCTCTATAGCTTTTGATTTAAAAAAATTAAATAAGGTATGTTAGGTGTCATGTAAATCTTAAAATGCTATATAAAATGGTAGCTATTATTGTTTGTGAAAATAATAAAAGTTCAGGCATCTGTTAGATGACAGGGAAGAATGTTATCACTACAAAGCAAAGACCCACAGGATAAAAACTTATGTAATGTTGCATAATTATTCCAATCTGGAATGTAGAATGGACCTCAAGGGCTATCTAGTCCAATCCATACCAGAAGTGGAATGTTCTCCAACTTCTACTTGAAGACCACTAGGGGTGAACATTTGGAAACATCCCATTACATATTTCCATAGTTCAAATCATTAGGAACATAGGAATGCTCCTCTACCTATATTAAGCCAAAATCAGTCTCTATCCCCCTCTCCTACTTTAGTTGTACCTATTCGCTCTTTCCTGTGAGAGCCATTTCAAATACTCTAAGTCACCTCTCATGAAATGAAAAGTCAATACCCTTGTTATCTTTTGAACTGCATGAATGGTTTAATTTATTATAAAATTGTTTAATTTGTTATAAACTTAACTGTGCAACACAGAGATATTCAAGGGTATATGCAAAAACAAAAATAAAAGATTGTGCAGACTATAAACATCTGTTATTGATCATTTTTTAAATGTCTACATTAACTTGACCAGTTACACTATTTCCATGGACCCTTCAGAAGTGATTGTTCTGTACATGTTTACAGATAGTGTTTCTGTTATAGTATAGTCAGTATGTAGATCATCCATTTCTTTTTTTCCCTCAGAAGCGCTATAATCAGTCTGATGGAACAAACTACAGAATATGAATGTGGGGTTTTTTTTAGCCAGGATTAGGATTTAGTATGTGTATTGAACTCCCTTTCTTTCTTCACCTTTTGGATTTCTATTTACTCTCTAAAGCTGAAATTCAGTGCTACTTTCTTCTCTGAACATTCCTTGGTTTTCCCATTTGGCAAAATTATTTCCTCTCAGATACACCATAGCATTATGATTTGTAAATCTAACTCACTCTCTTGTTGGGCAACATTGGGTATTACAGGCATCCATTCAGGTATCATTTCTGATTGTATATTGTGTGCTCTATGAGGGCAGGGATCATGGCATCTATATTTTGCTCTCTCATAGCACCTAACAGTGTTCTGCCCGTAGTAGGTACTTAATAAATTAATTCCTATCACATCGTATGGTATAATATTATATCATGTTGTACAGCTGTGTTGCATTGCAGTAAATTGTGTTGCATTGTATTAAAAACCTTTACTCACAAATTAGAGAAGAGGATATCAGTAGATAATGAAGTATTAAAGAGAGAACAGGGAGATCTACTTTGGCTACTTCACAAATTGTCAAGGGTTAACATGTATCATCATCAAACTTTCCCCTCTTCTTAGAGACCAGATAGGAAATGACTCCTCCCTTCAGAGAAAATGGAGTGGAAAGACGTGGAGGAAGAAATGCCTAAAACAGAGGTGGCTAAACTTTTTTGATCACAAACCGTTATAGCTAAAAAAAAAAAAAAAACAATGGTGGCATGTATCTCAAATACATGTATATTTTCTTATTTATAACTTGTATATATGTGCTACTGTACTAATAATTACATAAATTAGAAAATTTATACAAGAATAGGAATTTAAAAGGCTGAGATAAGGATGATAAAATATTTGCTTCTAGATCGAATGGAAGTCACTGGAGTATATTGAATGGGGTGGCGGGTGGTAATATGGTCAGAGCTGTACTTTAAGAAAATCACTTTGGCAGCAAGGGAGAGAGGGGAAAGACTCAAGCCAAGGAAGCCAATTAGGATATTATTGCAATATTCCAGGCAATAAATGACAAGGGCTTGAACTATAAAATGGTGACTGTGAGAGAGTGCAATCGGATTTGAGAGATGTCATAGAGGTAGACATGACAAGATTTGGCAATGGATTGAATCTGTGGGTGAGGGAAAACGGTAGAGGAATCAAAGATGGTACTGAGATTGTGAACCTGAGTGACTGAAAGGAAAGAGATCCCCTCCACAGTAATAGAGAAGTTTGAAAGAAGAGTGCCCTTGGAAATAATATAGATCATAGCCCATCACTACTTGTTCATCTTGTGTGATTCACTTTGTCTCACCCAAAATTAAAAAAATGGGAGGGGGAGAGTGGGGATGGGGCAAAATGTCTTTCTGATCATTGCCTGGGAGCCTCAGCCAGAAACCATGAGGTAATCTGGGGGACAGGAGTTGAGTTTGCTGATGAGGGCAAGAATTTTCCCAGTGGTAGCTTGTACTGTGGGCACCAAGGTTATTGTTGGTGGTGGGTGGTGGTGGTGGTGGTAGTCCTTCATTCTCAAACAGGACCCATGACCTCACTAGTGTGATGTTTTGACTTACATATGAATTGAATTTGAGTGAGGCAGGGGTACCCAGGTAGCGGTTAGGTTACAACTTCCCAGAGGATTTCATTTGGGTTAGCAAATACCTTATTTAAAATGTGAATACTCTGTAGCATTAAACTTATCATCAAGCGTTAACTTGTATCATCACATTGGCTGGAGCAGTAGAAAGCCTCTGATTTAGAAAAATCCCATTCACCTCTACTGTTTATCCGGCTCCAATCTGGGCAAAACTTAGAGCTTAAGAAATTCTAAATTTTCTTATCTATAAATTGTAAATTGTAAGTATTTGTTACTATCTACCTCACAGGGTTGTTATGAAAGAGTGTATGTAAAGTGTTTTGTAACCATCAAGTATTGCACAAATGTAATCTGTTAGCGTAGTCCTAGTGATCCTATTGCCTACATCTAGCTAAGCTAAGGAGAGTTTTAACCGAGGAAAAGAGAGGAGGGAGAAGTCTGGAGCATGAGACACTCAGGCAGGCCCAGTTGAAGTGGCAGGCTGAAGGCATCAGGAGGTCTTCCACTTGGAATGAGGGAGAGGGGAGCACATACCAGAATACAGGAGAAGTTGAAAAGGCATGACGGCAGATTACCAAAGACAAGCTTCACCTGAGGCCCTTGAGGCAGCCGATGTCCCCCCTTAGGCCTATCGTCCTAAGGATATTCTCCATTGAGGATGTTATGTAAATTGAAACAATAGTAACCCTACAGAAAATGTGTCTTCATGAATTCAGTGTCACTAAAAAAACATACATTAGGCAGTTTGGCTGAAGAAAAAAAGAATTTGGTCACACAGTCCTTCAAGTTTGCTACAACAGAATTTCCTTTAGCTGTTAGTTGTATAGAATGCAAAAGCTTTGGTTGTCTTTAGCATCATTTTAACCATCTCTGAAAGCAATCATTATACTCCAGTGGGCTATTAACTCCCCTGATTATCACAGTATTTGCTAAACTTTATAATCATATTGAAATTCTAGCATGTTGTCATGGACATCTCTCCGTGGAAGAGAAGCAGACATTTATTTGCTTTAAACATGGCTCTGTAACTAGAATGGTAGAATGAAGGCTAGCCACATTTACCAACTTTCCACTAGAAGAGTTAATAATGCTGGCTACCGTCCTCTTAAACCAGCCCCGTCTACATAATAGTAGAGTGTGGAGTTTCTCTGTGTGTTGTTTTCTTTTTCATATAATCTGAAATGAGGTTATTCCAATGTTTGCCTTCAAATGAAAGTCCTGCAATGAAATTTGTGTTTATATAGCACTTTCAAAATGTAAAACAAGTTAATTGTTTAAAAAAAACCCTTCATTTAGAGTTCAAAGTTTTGAAAATGAATGTTGAAAATTATTTTTATGTGTAATTGGGGGAAAATAAAGTAGAAAATAAATAAATTTTATAAAACCCTTCATAGTTAATGATTACAGAAAGATGCTAATGATAACATCTCCAAATCTTTATTCACCCAGGCCATTGCTGCCATAGCTAACTTTCTCTCAATACTAAGTGCACACACATACACGAAAAGTTTCAATTAAATCAGAGAAAGGTACTTTCATAAATTTATTCCACTGGTACTTGTCAGTACATTTTAAAAATAATGTCCGTGGTGTCTTATTTAATGCCATCTAGGTAATTTTTTATCCAGGGAAAAAGGATATCAAGTTCACTGATGGCTTTGAAGACTCCCTTGTTTCCAATCTGCAGATAAGGTTTTATGTTAAATGTGGAAGTGATTCATGTTGACAAAACAAAGTCTATTGGCAATCATGGAGATGCTTACCTTGTAAAATACTGCCTTAATCCTGGTAATGGGCTTCATCTCCCAGTGTTTGGAGCACAGGGAAACTGAGAAGGCAACCAGAAACAGATAACTTTTGTTAAAGAGGGCCTGAAAACCTCAGAAGTGGGAAATTGAGAATCAAACCAAGTGTCCTTGATTTGGCTCAGTGGATAAAGCACTGGACCTGAAGTCAAAAAATTGTCACTGTTGTTTAGTTGTTTCAGTCATATCCAACTCTACATGACCTGATGTGGGGTTTTCTTGGCAGAGTGTTTTGACATTTCCTTCTCCAGCTCATTTTACAGATGAGGAAACTAAGGCAAACTAGATTAAATGATTTGCCCACAGGCACACAGCTAGTAAGTGTCTGACATCAGAATTGAATTCACAAAGATGAGTCTTCTTGAGTCTGTGCCCAGAACTCTATCCACTGTGCTATCTAGAGAAGGAAGGAAGGAAAGAAGATACAGAGAGAAGAAAGGAGGGAGGGATAGAAGGGGAGAGAAGGAGAAAGAGAAGTCCCAAAGATGATCAGCACAAACATACACGTGTATGAGCGCACACACACAAAATTTTATCATCAAAACCCAATCTACTGTCCATATCCGATCAACCAGAGACTCCATTACTGGGCTTATACCCTAAGGAAGCTACCGATAAAAGCAAGTCCCCATAAAACCCAAAAATACTTATAACAGCACTTTTCAGGATAGCAAAGAATTGGAAACAGAGTTGATGCCTATTGATTGAGGGGTGGCTAAACAAATTCTGGTACATGAATGCAATGGAATATTATTATGCTGTAACAAATTACATATGTGATGAAGCTCTAGATGAACTGATACAGAGTAAAGTAAACTCAGTCAAGAAAACAAAAGATAGTGGCTAAAACAATGTGAATGGGAAGAGCAAAAACACACCAAAAAAAACCAAAAGTGAATGTAACAAAATTACAGGCAGGACTCCAGTGAGGAAATATGAGAAGACACCCCAAACCCCCCCCTTTCACGGAAGTGGGAGGTCCCCAAATGTTACATATTGCACATGTTTTCAGACTTTTTAAACATATCAATCAGTTATGCTGGGGGGGTTCCTCCTTAAAAAATTACTATTTGTTATATGGGATGGCCATCAGGGAAGGGAAGAGGAAAGGATACTGAGGATTACTATGATGAGTTAAGAAACAGAAGATATCAATAAAAACTTACTGGAAAAAAAAAACAAGAAGAAAAGCCCAATCTGCCTTCCCTATTCCTCAAGTACAAGCAGGTTCTTAGATACAAGGATCTAAGACAAAGTACCAAAAGGGATATGCCATATGTCATATAAATGCAATACAAAACCATATCATAGTTGTTTAGATTTTAGTAGGGAAGATATTTAGGGGGGAAAAGAGAAATGGAATACACAGCAGAAGCCCAATCATAGAACATTAGAGGTGGAAGGGATCTGTGACCTTATCTGGTTCAATCCTCCATATTTTACAGCTGAGATAAACCAAGCCCTTGAGAGGTTAAGTGATTTGCCTAAGATGACAAATCTGTTGAATGGCAGAGTAAGGTCCTGAACCCACTTCTTTAGACTCCAAATCCAGGGATCAGGCCATTCAATTCCGACTAGTGCCACTGGATGGAGTCCACACTTGCACCATTGTACAAAGCTCTGTTTCTGAACTTTGACTATAAGGCTGTGACTCCTTCCAACATGAAATCTGTGAGTGCTATGACCAAGAGTGTTTGTAATGATCATGCTCATTTTTTCCCTGAAACTTTGAATGAAGCATGATATAGCTGATAGAAAGCACAGGAGGTAGCAAGACTTGGGTTCACATCCTGCCTCTGACCCATATTGTCTATGTGATCATGGGCAAGTCACTCAACCTCTGATGTTCTAGGACACTCTCAAAGACTATAAATGACCATGAAGGGGCTGGTCTGCATTGGTAGAGAGAATTTCCTCACCCAGGAGTTCCTTGTATCAATGAAACATGTCCAGTGCTTATCCCTATCTTTGAAGGTAACCACTGAACCACAGAATAGTCTTCAGCCTATCAAAACTCCAGTCCTTTTTATCTAATGGCCCAATGGAAATCTCCACCTGCACGTCCCATAAGCATCTCAAATTCAACATGCCCAAGATGGAGTTCATATTTCCTGAGAAACTATCATACCTCATCCAATCTTCCCTATTTCTATTGAGGACACCACCATCTTTCCATCACCAAGGTCTGCAACCTTGGAGTCATCCTTGATTTTCACCCCTTTTTTTTTCAACCCCCATATGCAATCAATTACTGAGTTTTGCTAGTTCTACATCCACAGCATATTGGCATCTATTCACCTCTCTCCAAAACCCTAGTTTGGGTCCTCATGATCTCTTTCCTGGACTAGCATAACATTCTCCTAAATGTTCTCCATTTTTCTCGTTTCTTGCCTCTCCAATCCAATTTCCCCACAGCTGCCCAATCAATATTCCTAAAGCACAGGTGTGACCATTTCACTATCACTCCCATATTCAAATATCTTCAATGACTCCCTATTACCTCTACATAAAACATAAAATCTTAGCCCATGCCTTTAGCATTTGAAGTCATTTGTGATTGGACTCATACTTACCTCTTTTGATCCACTTCACACACCTTCTGCTCCTAGTAAACTGTCCTCCTCACTGTTCCTCATATATAACAGCTGACATTTATGTATCACCTATTGCAAACCACGCACTGAGCTAAGCACTTTACGTATATTATCTCATTTGGTCCTCACAACAACCCTGGAAAGAAGGTGCTATTATTCCCATTTTATGGATGAGGAAATTGAGGCAGAGGTTAAGTGACTTAACCAGAGCCCCACAGCTTGTGATGTTTGAGGCTAGATCTTAACTCAGATCTTCCTGATCCAGACCCAGTGCTCTATCCACTGTACCATCTGACATTCCTTCTCCTGACTCTATGCTTTTATTAAGTGCCTGGAATGCCCTACATCAATGGCGTCAAACTCAGGTAGAAATGGCAGCCGTTAAACTATACACAAGATCCCTGCAGGCTACATGTCGACTTGGAAAACCACATATTAACGTTTTCACGTCCTATTATATTTTTATTTTTTTAATTGCCTCTCAATGACATTTTGATCTGGTTGGGCCATGCTTGGGAACACAGGGGGCCACATGTGGTGCCCACAAAGTGTGTTTGACACCTCTGGCCTAGGCGATCTAGTCAAAATACAGAAGGGAAAAAAAAAAGGAAAACCCCAATGGGATCCTGCCATGAAATTCCTGTAATAGCTTAATGTTTCTCTGGCACTTTAAAGTTTGCAAAGCATTTTCATCCCAATTTGTCTATCTTGTAGGATAGGTATTCCATATATGATTGTCTCCATTTTAAAGATAAGGGAAATAAGCCTTAGAAGGGAGAAAGTGCTATGTCAATGTCAAATCTGGGTCCTGTAATTTGAAGCCCAAGGCTTTTGGCAATAAACCAAGTTATGCTACTGTCATTGCTGAGCAATCAGCAGTTCTCAGAGGGTGTTATTAGGCTCCCTTAGCAGAAGAAGGTAAGGAGAAGAATGCTTTCATTTCTCCAGGAAAAATCTACCAATTTCAGCAGGTGCTCCAAGGAATTTCCAGTTTTCTCATCTAAAAAATGAGCTAAAGAAGGAAATGGCAAACCCCTCCAGTATCTTTGCCAAGAAAACCCTATGGACAAATCCATGGGGTCACAAAGAGTCTAATATGACTGAATAACAATAACTCCAATTGCAAATCCATCTTTCTTTCAATAACACTACTGCACTTCCAAAGGGGAAATTTCATATCAGAAAAGTGATAGCTACTGGGAACTTAATATAATTTCTATCCAGGGAAAATCACTGACCATGAGATCCATTATCTTACTCACAAATTAGAGTTTAAGGCTCTGAAGTATGGTATCACTAAAAACATTTTGAGACTGTGTGCATAGAACACAATTCCAGATATAGACAGATAATCCATTGACTTCTATCTTAACACTACTGCTGTTTGTCCTTCCTTCTCAAAGAGGACCATGACAACAGGGAGGTGATGCCATGCCATGCAAATGAATTGGATTTAAGTGAGGAGGGCTGTGCAAAGTCACCAGCTTCACTTTCTCCTCCAGAGCCATGTGAGTCCAGTAGTTAGATATATAGATAGATAGATAGATAGATAGATAGATATATATATATATAGATAGATAGATAGATATATCAGGATGACCGGAGATGGCCCAGGATGCATTGGGGAACCTTGGCCTTTTCAAGCAAGGTCTTCAACCGGTCTCAGTTTGACCGAGGCAAAGCCCATTCAGTGATTAAAGCTTAATAAGAAGTGAGGCAAAGAATGGCCTCTTTAAAAAAAAAAAATAGATCCAGAGGGCAGCTAGGTGGATAGAGCACCATCCTTGGAGTCAGGAGGATCTGAGTTCAAATTCGGACTCAGACACATAACACTCACTAGCTATGTGACTCTGGGCAAGTCACTTAACTCAATTGCCTCACAAAAAAAAAATAGATCCGGAAGGGCCTAAACAATGAACAAATGACCAGTTCGATATCAGAGAAAGTTAGATAACCAAGCTTAATAACTATATTATTGTGCAGTCATTCAGTGGTGTCCAGTTTTTCATGACTCCATGGACCATGCCTATGGGGTTTTCTTGGCAAAGATATTAGATTGGCTTGCCATTTCCTTCTCCAGTGTGTCCCCATTTTACAGACAAGAAACTGATACATACAGGGGTTAAGTGACTTGCCCTGGGTTTGAACTCAGAGCTTCCTGACTCCAGGCCCAGTGTTCTATCCACTGTACCACCTACACTTGACAGCTATGAAATGATGTATATTGTAAATGGGGGTGAATTGTATAAACCAAAAAGGAGCAACATAGATGCAGATAACCTGTTTTGTAGGCCTTTTACATCACAGCCCCCTCCATAGATAGGTAAAGGTAGATTTATGGGGCTATGTCTCAGGATTCTGTAGGTGTCAAAATTTAATGTGTTCTGATAGTGCTTGCAACTTTTTCAGTAGTTTAGACCCTACTAAACTTTGTATCTAATCAACAAGAATAATTAGTTAAACAATTTCTTT